ACAAAAAGAAAACTCATTAGTTACACATCCTGAGAAAATGCTATAAATGACTAAGTCAAGCATCTTGTTCAAATAATTTAAAACATCAAACCGTAACCACCAGAGTACACTGGCACTGAGGGTAAGCTGCAAAACAGCTATGGTATAATACCCACCTTCTAGCTTACACGCAAGTGGCATAAACCACAATGCAAGATAACAGCTTGTATTTTGGTCCATGTTTGGCCATGAGGAAACACATCATACATGGTCTCTAACGCTATTCAGTGATCAGATTTAACATCCTGTCTTCTCATTATGTCCCAGTAATTCCTGTACAATTGCATGTATTAGGGCATCTTTGTCTTTTCATGTGGGAATGTGCACGTACATCTGTGTGTATCTTATGAAAAAAAAAAAAATTCTCTCAAGTGAGCATGTGCCACCATGGCACAACAGACGAAGCCCATGTTATTAGTACCCAGTGGAGAAAAGCTTTGATGTCACCCAGCCTTCTTCTTCTTTGATGGTGCTGGCCTTGTAGATGAAGCACAAGAATCAAATGATGCATTATGGACCAAGGCCCAACCATAGCATCAGTTAAGTCCAGTTTGGTTGCCTGGAACGCTGAGCTCAGTGTGGGGGCATACCCACAATATAGTGTGTGTTGTGGTCACAAGTCCAAGATACATTTTGAAGGGATGTTTTATATGTTTTTTTTTTAAATATTCTGAGTTCCTCAGAATATTCTTAATAACTAACTTTGATTTCCAGGCATTGAGGAGCTGAATCTCCCTGCCCACTTTCAAACGTAGAACTTGGCTCTAAGGACTTCTCTTTCGTTTCAGCTGAAGACTCTGTATGCTAATGTGCTCTAGATTTGATGATGTGAAATTATATTAACCAAAAGTTGTGTGAAATGTCAAAACAAACGTTTAGAGATGTTTTAGTAAAGCTGATGATTTCTGGACATACAGTACTTCAACTCAACCACTGCATGAAAAAGACTTCTTCCTTAACTTCTCCTTCTAACAGTGGAGATGTTGTCCTAATGTAAAAATGCAAAAATCTAGGATACTCCTACTACGTGCAATCTAAATGTTTTAGTTTTTTATTATGATTGTGTGCTAATAACAATTGTGCTTATGAGCCAAAAGGCTACTTTGTCTCTACATCATATTTTATAAGACCTTTCAGAGGTTTCATTCTGATTCCAAGTGAGATTGGAACACTCCATGTCAGACACTACTGTTAAAACATATGCGGTACTTATAGGGTGTATTATGTACAAATCCCAAGAGCATGACATAACGGAGTCCTACAAACATTTTTAGTTCCCATTTCCAGAATAAGCCACATCATCTAATACACATGTACTCTGAGCACTATGTGGGTAGGTCCTAGTCTGCACAGCTAATATTAGCTCAGCGGGTTAAAGAGTAACTCTACATTGTATTTTCTGTGCTGCACATAACATATATATTGCTGCAGGGTGTTAATACTGAGATATACCACTGTGTAAAAACTGCTTTTTCTTCTCAAAAGGAGCTTATATTTATCTGCTTGAAAATAAAGACCAGGTGTATTTAAGCTGCCAAAGCATGTACAATATGGAGTACACAGACTGATGAAAGTGTCAGCTTGTGCATCTCATACATAGCTGCTCAGAGCAGACAGAAAAAAACCTCATAGATGAATGTTTTATTCCTCTTCAGTGGCAGAACACAGAACATACAGGGCCTGCTGATACCTGCTCAGAACTTCACGGGATATTAAGGGCTGATGAACAGTAACGTTAACTGCAAGAAACAGCACGGCTGCAAATAAGTACTGACTCTCCCCACAGCCACACCTGAGACCAACACAGTTCCAGTAGAGAGCTGCCAAAGGTTTCATTTAGTGGCTGTCAAAAATCATTAGCTTTCACACTGTCAGCAGTGACATTAGTAATCTGCCATCATTAAAATATTATCAATAAACACAGCATAATGTCAATTTGAACCATCTAGCTAATTACTTTTTAATCAAATTATGTATAGTATGACACTCTCCCAAATGTGAGATAAACCCGTCAAATTTTAAAAAATGTAACATTTATTTTGAATCTAAGTTCTGAGTAAATTTCAAGCACTTTAATAATTATGTTTTCAATAGTACAATTCTAAAATAAATTATGACAAGTTCAACAGCCTGCCCCCATGATTTAGCGGTTAAGATGCTGAACATGAACCACAATGTACATGGTTCAAATCCAGCCCTTTGTTGCCATCTCTCTCTCTCACTCACTCAAACATCTCTGTGCTATAACCCATCTCTTAAAAACCTGTATTTCTCCACATACACCACCTTTAGCCAGTATATAGTGAATTAAAATATTGATTACATATGTATATTGCACATATTTACTCTGCCTTTGCAGCACAAACAGCTTTAAAAACACTTTAATGTAGTCAGCCTAACACTAAAATAAAAGAGCCACTGTAGGAAATGCAAATTTGTGACTGTGATTAGGGTAATGTTGGAGTGTGTGGGGAGGACCAGTAATCGAGGTATTTTCTCCTTTTCCCCTGAATTCACTCAATCTTTTATGGAGAGTTCCGGCTGTCCAGGAAGAAGCAGCACAGCTAATTCAACAAGACAAAATGGCACAACCATACAAATATCATGAGTGTTATGGGACTGCTTGATTAGCAGAGGCTACACAAGAAGGAGGTGAGGAAATACCACAAAGCAAGTGAATGGTGGCAAAAATTGGCTTTTTTTTTTTTTCTTTCATACTGGCTCGAATTTATTTTTTGTGTATGGCTACATGTGCTGGTACCCTGTCAAATCAATGAAACTATGCTCCATTCTTCCTACAAAAGTGTTTAAATTAGAAGCTTGTGCATAGCTGCCTTTGGATTGCCACAAAAAATAAACTGTGAATAGAGATCAATTTCATATTTCTTACCCTTCAAAAATCTTTAAAAATGGTCTGAACAAAATTATCAGTACCTGTTAGAAATGATAGCCTATTAAATTAGTGGTCTGTAGTGATATTTCATGTAAACTACTGTACTTAAATTCATTCAGCCCAGAGAAGTCATCATTGTACTGTTTGGTATCACTTAGTGCAGTGCACGATGCTGAACATACAAGAGAAAGAAGAGTGTTTTCTGAGATAAGGAAGAAAATAACTGCCAAGCCTGGTCAAGGCAAAGACTATATGATCATCTCCAATTAACTCAATGTACTTATGACCACAGTTTTTAATATTATTAAGAAATTTAAGGTTAATTATTAAATTTAAGCCTATGTATTAGTCTGGCTCTACTAAGCGCAACATTTCTTCCATCTCACTCGAAGTAACTTCACTATTATTTGAATTACAGTAAGTAAGTATTCCACAGTCTACTTTATCATTAACATGCATGGCATCTAAAGGGGAAAAAAAAACACAGTAGGCTCAGTAAGGGAATCTTGACTATCCACACAAGTGCCCGGAGGAGGGTGAGCCCAGTGTCTGTCCAGGACTTTGGTTCCAGACCAAAGCTGTGTATTGAGGTGAGCCCATGTATATCTATTTGGTATTGCTTCACCTACACCACTACCCCAAGCTCCTTCATCCCCAGAAGGGTGACATTTCACATTTCAAGTGCCAGTTTTCATAGCTAGGCCTCTTACCTGCTGACTGACTGGCAATGCATCAGACCCTCACACCTAACCCTAGAGATGGTGGATATACATGGCGGCTTCTGATGAAAGCTACTACACAAGTTTTCATCTAACTGAGTGCGAGTACACAAAAGCATAATGAGGCAATGCAGATGGGATTGCTTTAAATTTAAATGTAAAATGCCATTGTACTGATGGATTCATCACAGATGATGTATTGTTAGTGAGGCACTGATGCATATACAAGAGTTCAAAGTTACTGTTATAAGAAAGTGAACAAACAATATCCTCCGTCTCTCACTACCTCTTTCAGACTAGCACAAACATATGTATTTTTATGCACACACAGACTTTTATACAGATATACACATGGTGTCAGCAAAAGTTCAGAAAGGTCAAGGGTCTCTTTCCTGATCAATTACTGCCTCAAACCGAAAACTGACGTGAGCACACCTTTCACTCGCACACATGCATTCATGCAGACTCCTAGGCACACACACCCACAAGCATTAGGAAGCAGAGAGAGTTGTGACTTTAAGTCTCCTCTTCTCTATTCCCTGGAGCAAAGAGTCAGGGTCTGGGCTGAGGTGATAAGTATGCTGACATACCACCCAGCAAATACACACATACTCACACAGAGAGAAAGAGTTGCACAAAGTTGTACTAAAAAGTAAATACGGTTGTATTGCTTCATTCAAGCACCAATGAAATCTAATTTGTATATAAATTTAATTTTTCCTCAGGCAGTCAATTGGACAAGACCACACACGGGAAGAGACTGCGACATCATAACCAAACAATATATTTCAATAATGTGAATGAGTGTTACAATTTCTGAGTGCCTACAGTGCAACACAGAGTAGTAGAGGAATGCATGCACATACATATGTGTATCAGTGTGCTGTTTAATTAGTATTCATCCCCCATCGAGGGTCCATTTATGGGTACTTAACATCCATGCTTACCTGAAATAGCTTGCAGCATGCGTCTATGACAGAAGCGTGCACCCACTACTGTGCTCTACCTGAAAAGCTGTAGTAGCTATTGAACCTTAGAGGTGGCTCGGAATTGGTGCCTGACTAATGAAGTGACCACCCTTTTTCAGCGCTTGCTTGTGAAATAGTTTGTTTTTTTTCCTGACTTCCAATTACGGGGTTTATTTTTATTGAGTGTTTAAGTTGGTGTTATGAGTGCCTGTGTAGCATAAAGCATATCAAAAGAGGAGAGGACTATTTCTGTGATCAGAGGACAGGGAGAAAGACACTTCAGTACAATTAAAGGAAAGCTTACATTCCTGAAGGTATTTGTCTAAAATGAGAATGGAACAAGAGAAAACATGTCTTACTGACCGACTCTGTTTGACTCACCAGTTTCTTCCTCTTGTCCTGCTCAGTTGGTGGCTCCTCATCATCACTCAACTTGGGCTCCTCAAAATGGCTCATCAGCATGCAGCTGCAAACACAATAATATTCATCTCAGTATTAATAACCACACATAAATCTACACAACAGGAGGCAATTTCAGAACAGGCAACAGGCATGCAAAAAAAGCTGAACCCTCTGGCACTTTTGTTCACATCTCTGTCTGCTACTCATACTGTATAGGTTCATTTGCATGCAGGGAGAATTACAAGGGAAACTTCTGTGCTCACCCCAAAGTCTGTTGATGGCCTTTTATTTCCTTTGTCCTTAACATGCAGCATTTGATAATTAAAAATACAAAATGTCCAACTAAACTCTACCTCTAAACACATTTTTAGCCAGATAACTAACATTTTTATAATATGTCAAAAGACGATAACGACAAGGGGTCACTGTTCAGATTTGTCACCCCAATCTGAAGCTCCCTACACTTTACGGAACTTTACTGTGCGTTTCAGCTCATTGCTGGCCTGCAACTTTACTATTTTGGTTAAAAAAAAAAAAAAAACACCCTGCTCAGCACCAAATGACATGACATGCACATTTCAGTGAATGACTAATGAGCATAGTGGAGCATTTAGCAGCTAAAGAGCCACATATATCCCTCAACTATAAAGCTAAAACCAAATGAATAATGGGCTCCCATTCATCAGGGGGATACAAACATGCCTCCAAATTAATTTTAATGACACTGTTGCTCTGTAATTCTTAGATGTGTACATAAGCAACATAATTACCATATCAACTTAAAAGGTAACGATATGACAATGTAAAAAAAAACCTGCTACTATAAATTTAAAGAAACATTAGTGACAATGTCACATTGGGTACATGTTGGTAAGGGTGTCTTTCTTTCACTGATGTGTCAAAAGCAAACAAAATATGGCCAGTTTTTTTTTTTTCAATTAAAAACATTTTGAATTTTAAGTTTGCTGAAGTCCACGTGTTTCGTGGATCTGGAGAAGGCATTCGACCGTGTCCCTCGCAGCGTCCTGTGGGGGGTGCTCCGGGAGTACGGGGTCCGGGGCCCTTTGCTAAGGGCCGTCCGGTTCCTGTACGACCGGAGCAGGAGCTTGGTTCGCATCGCCGGCAGTAAGTCAGACTTGTTTCCAGTGCATGTTGGACTCCGGCAGGGCTGCCCTTT